TCTTCGCATCGCAACTCCATAATGTCTTATCTGTCTCGTTGCCTAGTCGACCCATGCGTGATGATGTAACCATCGCGACTACGTTTGGTTATTCCAAAATGAAAACCTTTCGATGTTCATGTTATTTCACCTCAGTGTCTCACCGACGCAGTGTTGTAGTATATCCGTGTAGTTAGAGTAATTTGCTGTAAATGCTCCCACCGGGATGTTTACAGTTTACTTTGACTTGACATAGATTAGTTAGAAGCAGAAATTGATTTAGCTCATTTTTGTACTGACACAGATTGACCTGTTCCTACTAAGTGTGACAGTCGGTTCTCAACAACGGAGTATCGAACTACAAACTACTCGAAATTAAGACGTGAACTTCTGTTGAGGAAGAATAATTTTCAGTTCGTTAGGTTGTAGTCTTCATCTTCCTTAAACGTTAACTAGATACTTGAACTGAAGCTGAGATGGTACATCTGTTTATAAAAGAAAACTAATTCGTCTTTAGTTTTCGTAGCCAAACTGCATCCATGCGCAGTAGCTCACATATGTCATGATATGTTGCTAATGACAATTCACTCATAGGACTTTTAGTGAATTTCCGCTGCAAACGATGCAGTGATATTAGATCATTCTTGTGCATGGGATTGTATATAAGCGTGCAATACTCGAAATGTGGATGTAAGCTAAGCAAATAAGAAGCAGGCTTTGTTTTGGTTAGACTTATTGAGCCGTCGATTACAGCTAGAGTCTGATAAAATGAATTCAATATGGCATATTATGCACATCATTTCCAATCGCTTGGTTAACTTTGCACTTTTCTTTCGTGCCGTATTTCTTTTAAGGATGTGAATGGGACCAATATCAAATGATGTCTAAGCAAATTCTCTTGAAATCAGTTGTTACTCCTGCACTGCAATATTCTCTTACTTGTAGACATTTCCTCTTCCATCACTAACCCGAACAGTTTTCTCGGTAGACAAAATTCGCTATTTCTTGTAATAAATATACTTAATTTAGACTTAAGTCAATAAAGTTACTGTAAGGAACATTTTGCGCTTAATCAATAGCACTCATCAAAACGGCGATGTACAAACTATAATGAACATTTGGAAGACGAAGATTTAAAATTCCCTTTGACAGTATACTTACCTTTCATCTATACCATGTAGTGAATGTTTTGATTAAATGTATTTGTAAAAGATGGATAACATCAGAGGGCATAGTTCTTAGGCAAAAACGGTGAGGACAATTGCATCACTGTGCTCGCGACATCAAAAGTGTTTGTTAGGGAAATCTAACCAACGGTTACTGAGCCTTTCATGGTCAACTTTTTACTCCCAACTACAAAAACACATTTTATCTCCAGTTATATCTGGAGGGGTAAGCATTGCAATTAATTTCTTTTCAAAAATCCTTAATGGCGTGGATGTTGCAGAGAATAATCAAAGCCGCCCTATATACTTCATCGAGCAGGGTTTCTAAGGCTAGGCTGCTGCTACTCAGGCCTTCCCGTCTTCCTACTAGTCGTCTTACGCTTCTTCATATTTTCGTCCCATTGCACTATTATCTTCTCGGTTTGCAACCGCAAATTCTTGGCCCTCCTCCACGTTGCTCCAATAGTTGCTTAGCTTCTACTTTCAACTCACGTGCAGTCGAAGGGCGTCGCTTTGATCCAACCTACATGTCTATCTGCAAACAAGCGAACGATGTCAGTTCATTGATTATCTTTGAAGCCCTCGATGCTCCCTATCACTAGCATGCTTAAACGTGGGCAACCTTTTACAAATCGGTCAACTGGCAACACTTGCCAAAACAACAAAAAGCCCTCAATCCATATCTACCGCTTATCGCAAGACAGCCTGTAAGATTCCAGCTCCGTGCTCAGCCTACGTTCCCCAGATGCCACACAGGTGGCACTTTCTCACTGCAGTTTTCTGGAAATGACTCAGATTCGAATGTCAGTGTGGAGATCGTTTCACGTCCTCTGGCTGAAGTAGCCCTCGTCTATTGAATTCTAGTCAACAGCCTGGTGTGTGCTGTCAGATTGCTTGGCTTCTACAAAGTTTCGCAGTCGGTGTAGGCCCCTGTAATGCTAACGGTGAGTGATACCACATCTATCATCCACTGTTCAGAAGCGATGCCTTGCGACAGCATCCGCAGAGAAGTGATATCGCGCCGACCAGCCTCGAACCATCCATGGACACAAATCGATCTCCTCGCGATCAGTTATCATTAGAAAGGCTGTGTCCCATACTGCCAATCAATATGGAGCAAGGGCATGAATTTTAACCACATACTTGTTTGCACCGACCTGCGGGCGCATTTCGGCAGACTCCCGCAACGGCATAAATACCCGCCAAGTCGTGAAGCCAGCTATTCGAAATGCATACCAGATTGCGCTGACATTCGGGTTTGCGCAATCGCCTACTGAACATAGTTGAAGAGCACTGGTCACACATCCGACAGACTTTATTAGCAGCAGGTATGTCTTTATGTGAGAAAGCAAATTGCCAACCTTTAATATAATCGCTGAAACTTATGGATGCTCCCTGAAGTCTGTGGTGTACCGGAAAACAAGCTCTTTCAGTATTTTGTAACATTGGATTGTACGGATGTTTTAACCTTCGAAACCTTCACTTGTTTTACTGACTGCACTTCCGTTGACACAAACCATTTTGGTGAGTACCTCTCTGAACATTTCTCGCTCTGTGTAATTCGCTTCCTATTCTTGTAGCCTGCACAATATACGTGGGGTTCAGTCGCCTCCAACTTCTATACTATGGTATTTGACACGTGTTACGTGTCATTGCTTACCGACTCGTATCCCAGGCTCGGCCTAACAAGTTTCCCGGCTGTGAGCGGACAAACTAAGACTAGCAACGTTCTCGGAGCAAAACTACATGCAACCCTGAAAAATAGACTGCAAATTTTAGTAATCTTATCTTGGTTCAGAGATTGGGACAGCTGATGTTCTTTGCAAACCATTGTAATTTATTACCTCTGATAGCGGAAACGGACAGAAAGCAACTTAGCGATAAAGACAACATCCGCGGTGAAAGTCTATTTTGCCTAAGCGAATGGAGCGTTGGGCTGGATACTTTGAGAAACAGACTTATCAATCAGAGTTAGCATCTTCTCTATCTGCCATTAATCGACGTTCACTGGACAATACCCACGCAAAGAAGTTGAATTTGAGATCCCATTGCTGAAATGGGAAAACACACAGCAGCAGATGAACTTCCTCTAGCTCTCCACAAACGCGGATGCGTGCTGTTATAGATTACTTCCACAACTTATTAGTGAAGTTTCGAACGGAGAGTATTCTAGCACACTGTGGCAACTCACTTTCAATTTTTAAGTAAGGCTCATGTTCGGATGTTAGAAATCGTCGAGAAATCAACCCACTATCAATAGCTCCAAAGTTGCTTGCGTGCGTAATTCTTCATAGTATGAATGGCGCCCACGAAGCCCATATTCGTGAGCAGCAAACTGGGTTTCAATGAAATCGAGTCTATAGTAACCACATCTTCACTTTATATCAGTTGTTGGAATACCACCGCCCTATTGGCTACTCACAGTAGTCTTGTTCCTCAAAATCAATTGTGCCTTAGTTTCGATGGATTGATGTGCCCTTTAAAACTGTCTACTCCAGAAAGTTTCGCCTGAAAGTTATCCCCATAAACAGTAGCAGAGCTCTTTATGCGCACAGTTCCGGCGGATAGAAGACTTGTTTCAATCTGCCGCCGCTTTCTAATATTTCCAGCGCTGTGGGAAATGAATGCCCGCTATCGCTCTTCCATTATAAATTCGACATCGACGAGGACAAGAAAATTGCTTTCACTGGACACATGGTAACAACCTAAATTTCCTGAATTTCAAGTTAAAGAACCGGTGGGACTAGTCAGATGATCTCAAGAAACTGAGACAGAGACGGTCCAATGTGTAGCCGAGTGAGAAATTCGAATACACAAAGGTGAAAAGTGAAAGCGCTCGACTGGAAAACGGTTGCCCGGCTGCTCTGACACTTTCTATTTGAAGATGGAACATGGAGTATGCTTAATTAATTGCATAACAATGAAATTTTTATAACGATGGCACCATGATGGACTGAGAAAATGTCCTGTTGCGCTAGTAAGGCGCCTTTTCGAGTGTGCTGTTTCTGCTGAAGTGATTTACTTTAATCTTTAACTTTCTATCTTGTTTGAAAACTTGCTATGCTGGTGGTATGATAATTGTAATGCAAATGCCTCAGTTGCTTAAATTTGATTCGCTTGAGTCCAAGAACGAACACCGAGCATCAGAAGAGAGAAGGATTGCGTCATTAACCGACGGACGTACTTACATTACTGGTAGCGACTTAAGGTGTGAGTAAGTAAATAGAATTCATTTCCGCAACCTATGTAATAATGATGTATCATTGCAAACTTGCAGCGTGCCCAGATTCCCAAGCCATAACTTCAATTAAGTTGCGCATTTTTCCAACCGTTCGCATGCACGTAAGATATCATTGCGTTCGCCATATCAAGATAATATAAACACTAATTTCCAAGAGTGTATAGCCAGAATGAGCAAGGCGGAATGACTTGTAGGTTATAGTTGCTTCCATATCACAGATACCGTTGTTGGCTCAAATAAGTGAAGATGTTTTACACTGCCTAGTGCCGGTATTTTAAACGGCTCCATCATAGTTCCGTTAGTTTTACTGGGCCCTCGGCTGTTGCTGCAAATGAGCCCGGTTCGGCTTCACATTGTAAGCAGTGGACCAATGGGTTGCTACTGCTGTACCCCCAACTACATTGGGACCGTTTTACGTGCATTATCGAATTTAAGATATCTATGGTTTGAATGTATTTATTTCTTGTATACACTTCTGATGAACACAAATATTAGAGTAAAGCAAGTGTGTCGATGGAAAGCACTCTTGGAAGTTCAATCACTAATCAAATTGCAATAAAATATCTTCCAGTGGAAGCTAACAAAACACAGATGACTCCTTTTCAAGACGTTAACTAAACTGCAGCATCAGTGTTACACAAGTCTGTCTGGCAGCATGTTGTGACCAACCCAGCTCCGAGGACAATCTTGCGGGTCGGGGTGCACGTAGTTTCGCAACTTCTGACGATTGAGGCTACGGTCCCAGCCACGTAATTCTTCGTAGTCTAGACCGCCATGAGAAAAGTGAGAGAACAATAAGTACGAAGACGAAATGAAAACATTTTAACAACGAGAAATTTAGATGCTTTAGCGTAACTCCTACCCACTCAAGTCTTGCCAGTTGTCATGTACCACAGCTGATGACGTGATGCTGTGCTTCACTCCAGTTGGAGTGCAGCTTTCAAACAATCAACCGTTAGCAATAATTACTGGGTGCATTTTTAGGCACAGAAAAGGCAAATGTGGCTCAAAAAGACAAGTAAAGCTAGTTTTCTGCGAACTTTCCTGGAAAATCCGTAGACAGATTTCAGTGAACTGACTATCCAATTAACTGAAATCACCACTGACAAGTGCTTGTAAACGAAACCCTTAGGTACGTTAGCCATCCATTCCAGTAGCCTAGTGAATAGACACCGTCTCCAAACTGAGTCTGACAATGCATTATCTTCAAATGTAATTAACGAGTCAGACAACAATGCTAAAATCATATGCAGCAAAATGGGGAAACAGTCTGATTTTGTCATTAACTGTGATTCAGAGTAAAAAAGCTAATTTTAACTCACCGAACACGCTTTACAACCAGAAACCTTCGTTTCAGTTTTTGGGTCTAATGGACTTGAACATATAGCACAAGAATAACACTCTAACGCAGCGACTGAAGAAAGTGGAAAAAAGGAGGGTGAGTGATTTACAAAAATAAAGTTTGATACATAATTTGTCGGAGACAAACATTTTCAACACTGTTTTCACGCAGGATATCGCTCATTAATTTTACTTGGTGAGCGTAACAAACAGGCATACTACACATAACCAACAACATACCTTTCTCGACTGAAACCAACGTTACAATGTATGCGACGATAGCCAATTGCGCTAGCATTCTCGGGTCGCTGTGTGTGCAGCGTAGCGTTACTGAACTTTATATATGAATGCCACCCACCTGTCTCCATGGTTGCATAGTTCCATCCAACCAGAAAAGGAGTGGATTGCACATTTAGCTACAAAAGATGTATGCGAACAAATGAAAAAGCCGTAGTCTTCCTTTGGATAGTCGTGTTGCAATGCTGGCCTTCGAATTGTAGGGTACACTATTTGAATTTGTTCATTAGATCAAAGCATTGTTGTTCTGATGGTAACAGATAAATGCGCATTTATGCCAAACTGGAGAAGAATAAGTGGACACATGGAGGCATCTCTAAACAAGCCGGTAAATTTGCACTACGAGAAATTGCCAACTGTGCATAGAACTGTTATCACCTATGTTAGGTGCCTGCTACATCAAATGGGAATGCTCTGGTATACCGAGCGTGCGGTCCCATTGCAGGTTCGAATGTACTTGTGTTCGGTCGAGTCAGACTCACTATAGCCCTACTGCTTCCGTTTTGATCAGTTTATCGATTCCGGATGTTAATCCATTTATGAAGGTACTTGAGGAGTGCGTTACATTTAAGTTATAGTTTTTAAACTTGTAGGCAGCCGTCTTAACCACTAAAGTGCTAAATACAGCCGTTCAGTACATTAGATGACAGGCCAAGTGTATCAAAACTGTCAGGAATTTGGACACCCTGAACGTCATCCATACTTTTGTTGCGAATCTTTGATTATATTTGCAGATAATTTGGCATTTGCTGGGGTGGTTGTGTTTGCACCGAGAGAATAGTCAGAGCCAGTGGAAGAAGAATGAGTTACCAGTAGGTGAAATTTGTGATCAAGATATATTTTGTAGTGGTTGTGTGAGAAAATCCGGATATGGGTCTATAAGAAAATAGAACTATCAGCTGGTCAATTAGCTCGCAAGTGCGAAGTACAGGTGTAGTAGGTTCAACTTCGTCAGTGCTATAGGGCCGGAGTTGAGACATTTAACACCATTATACGACGATATATTTTGCGTTATATAACGAATAATTGGCGGTGTGCATGCAAGGATGCATAATTGGAATCGGCGAGGTCTGTGTGTCCACCTCTCACCATCGAATTAGGACATCTTTACTTTGTCTGACGCAGAGGTCATGCCCATGGATTTGTTCAGCTACTCGGAGACGCAGTAGCATAATATTCCAGTCCCACATACATCTGTGCGAGAAAATGTCTAGTGAATTTTGGGACGCTATTACGTTGGTGACTGAATAGGTCCTAGCAAGTAGCTCAATTTAGATGGACGGATTATTAAGTGAATCTGTTGGGATTATTTGTGGTTTGTGTAGAGCGCACAATGTTCGTATTCATTTGATGAAACCAAAGAGAGTTCGACGGTGATAGTTGAGCTCTGCTTAATCCACCGTGACCTTAGTTAACGAAACTCGCACTTTCTACCTAGCGGTTCTGTCTTAAACCTCCTTGTGCGGTTACGGTTGCCCAATCGGAACGGACAAACTCTTTCACTCGTTGGTTCCGCGCGCATACTAGTCTAGACGATTCGTACTGGAAAGGCTAGTGGACTTATCTGGCAGACGAGAACTTGCACTTGGTAGGGCAGATGGAACACGTAAACACCGCACAACTGTACCGAGACCCGCAGAAAGAAGAGTGGGTTTACTGACGCAAGCAAGACAACCGTGCTCTCTACACCTTCATATTTGTAGTTCATTAAAACAGTAGTGACTGTATCAACTAAGGGAATGTATATGTTCTTTGGCACACTAGTTGTCATGTAGTGACCCTATCTCCAGGCACGAATAGGGTGGGTTCGAGACTGTTGAGACGTTGGAAACCTCAATGTTGTTTTGCGTGCTCGGTGGCTGAGGTAATTTTAGGAACACGGCACAGAAGGCAGAAAGTTTACTTGAGGTGATACAATAGTGATACTAGGGCAATTTCAGTGGAAACTGCGCGGGTTATGTTGGCCGTGTTCTCAATGAGGAAACTCCGTTGTGCAGTTGAGTGGGCCGTTGCCGGCAGCTTCCGAAGAGGGAGCTGCTCCCTGACGTGAGCAGTTTAGGTCTCTGTATACTGACTGTGATGTTCGGATTCGATAGCAAACTGGTGCCAGTAAACTCCGAGTGAGTTTGGTGGGATTGTCACAGCCGTGAAGCAGGTTCCATCAAATTTTCGCCAATAACTGAAAAGCAGCGAGGATCGCTTGAGGAAAGTTGAGGTACAATTTTATGAACTGATATAATGTCAGGCTCATTGTACCTACACGGTTGTATAAACGATATGACGGCGTATTTGCTCGGCAAATTATCGCCAGATCACATAACCAGTCGTAAAATCTCTGGTGTTCAAATCTGATAAATACATAATAGCACCGTAAGTATTGGGCGAAAAGAGTTTTTTCGGTTAAGCAAATTTCTGCCTGCCTTCGGTTTCGGTAATAGATCACAAGTCATCATAAATACTGGCATGTATTATCTGTAGAGACATGAATCCATTAAGAAACCTCAAGCATTGATTGTAACGGGTGAACTAATGTTCGCATAACAGGACCCATAGGTTGATGTGTGAAAGAATTTAAACAGTAAAGCCCATGAAAGTGATTAAGCCAAAAGCAGGCATCCATGAGGATATAGAATAACGGAATATTAGCAGCAAGTCGGTGGAAATGGGATGATGCCATACCAAAAGAGGTAACAAGTCGTGACAGATAACGCTGCCTGTAATGCGTAATCGGATAGCTCGCCAACGAGCTCTCACTTCCTCGCATCAGCAAGGATTATAATTCCAGATAAGCCAAGTGACCGAAACACATCTGAAAGTACCCATTCATATGACAAATTGCAAGGAGGTGAGTGCGAGGTCTCAAAGACTCTTGAAAATGGCTATGCTGGTGCTATCGACAACTGAGAGTAGAAAAGCGTTCAGGAGTTAGCAGTTCGGACCTGACAAGTAATTTTGCCAACAGTCTAGCCGAATGAATCGTTAGATACTCTTAAATGTTTACCACTCAGCTTAGTGTTTCGAATGAACTACATATAAACATAAACTGGCGGCGATATGCGTTCACTACTACGTCTCGCGTTGGGCCTCTTGATGCGGACGTTGTTGCGTATACCGTGCTACTTCACAGTAATTGAACTGGAGTGACTTATCTCGCATTTCACTAGATCTGACTGGACCCAGTTAATTATATTTGATTATCTTCGTTGCCTCTCCGTGAATACTCAGTTTAAAATGCGCCATCTATGCGTTCGTTAGTTGAGATCCTCTAAATTGCATTTACACTTGTCCAAAATCACCATTACACCAGATCAGCCTTAATAACAAGTTGTAAGATTAGATGGAAGTCGTCTTACGCGTTACGACTTAAACTACTTTCACTAATCTGTGATTCGTTACTTAGATTTGCGAGAGCATGAATACTGCAGCAATGGTCCTAATGTCCCCTAGCACCCTATAGTAGGTAATTCAAAGCTGACTTCACCTTGGTAGTACAGTCCACAAAGATTGTTTCCAAATGCAGTATATTGACTAGAGAGTCCCCGAGAAATTTTACTGTTAGCAAACAGTTGCGCTTGTACCAGTTATTACAGCCAAGGTCAGTAAAACCACCATCATCCAAATTTAAAGTCCTGTTCTCCCGTACTGCATCTTACCACGCTTCTGTTCAACCATTCTTGTCCCGTTTGCTTGTTGACACAACTAAATCTATCAGTATGATCGGGAAAATATTTGCTTTGGTGATGTGCATAGACATTTTATAGACGAGTACATTTTGGTATTTAAAAGCAATTTCATATACTACAACATTCGCAGTGATCGTGTAATATACTGAAAATGCACTTACCCCGGTTTAACAAGCCTACTTTGGCTTGCTTTAAATTGAACACGCACTTTAATTTGGCTTTATTTTGCCATACATTAACTCTCCAGTTAGAATGTTTCAGTTATTTCAGATTATGTGTTTATGATACCTCCGATGTGCCTGCCCTTGAAGTAAATGCTGACTAAATGACTTGCTGTCGAAAACTGCTACCTTGAGTATACTAACTCCAGTAGTCATTTGGTTGTTGATGGAGGGGACTTGATGCACTTTCTTCGTGGCACTGCTAGGCTTGAAGAGTGATGGCATCCAGTGTGGAACGGACTACGGTCAAGCAACCACCTTGTGTACGTCGGGTACGCAAGATTCCCTTACTTAGATGGACAGAAACGCTGCTGCCACTGTGCACGTTGAAGGAGTGTGCGCCGGCTCCCTTGATGAAACTTGGTTGCCATTCACATGCCTCAGTCTTATTCCTTCAGGTTTACGCTGGATATGGTGTGTGTGTGTGTGTGTGTATAGAGCTATGGGCATTGAGCTACAAACCACACATGGGCTCTCCATTGGCGCAGGCGTCTTGTAGCTATATTTTGGAATCCGACGTGAAAGGTAAGTCCGGAATCGGGTTCCCCAAACATTACGGCTCAACACAGCAGCCGGTTAGGTCCACAGAACACAAGCTTCGTCCATCGGTGCAGGGTTATTTCAAGCCCACCATTGACATTTTCGTTGCTCATTGTGTGGAGTAAAGCGTGATTGCGACTTATCCAATGTCATGAAGCCTACATCGTGTGTTCAAGTTGCGTACGCACGTAGGCAATGAGCATCAGAAAGTTGAGTGACGAACCCAAACTGCCTTCTCCCCTCCGCTCGAAAAACCTCCCGCAGACCTTGTCACAAGCGACATGCAACCGTCTGTGCACCTGAGGTCATGGGGTACGAGCACACCGATGTCTTGCTCCTGTAGCGTGATCTAGTAATAGTGCAACTTAGCTTCTGCATACGAGCGTTCCAGTGATGCGTGTCAAAAACTGAATGCTGTGAGATCCACACCGACCAACTCGAGGACATGTTAAGATGACCCACAGTGTTCCGCGGGCATTTAATCCCTTGATCAATGGACAAAACTTACTCCGTTAAGCGAAACTCCCTGAGGTCACTACCATCGCTTGATACTCAAT